CTTTACACTAAAGACAATAAAATTGCTCATTCACAAGAAACTAAGATCAGTAGCCTCCAAATTAAAGTGGACAAAAAATGAAGAGCTGGAATAAAAAAGGTAGCACACTCCCCACCCTCATGTACTCCCTTCCACACACACACACACACACACACACTTACTCAACCTAGGGAAACTGCTCTACCCTCAGGGCTCCAGCATAACTTTGTGCTATCTATCTCTATCTCTATTATGACTTACCACCTTGATATATTATAGTTCTTAGTCTGTATTGCCCTCCCTCCCCAAATTGTAAACTTCTTGGGAACACAAAGTGTTTTATTCATCTTTTTACTCCAAGAAATTACTACAGTGCCTGGGCACTCAGAAAACTCTCAGTAAATGTGCATTGGATGGATGGATGGATGGATGGACGGAAAGACAGAAAGACGGGGGGCGGGGGGAGGGGTATGCAAGGGAGGACTAACACCAGACTTGCCTCAGTCCCTGAAAATTCCCATACATCTCCAACAAATCAACAATTTCATCTCAGTGTCCCTGTTGCACACTTGAAAGATTCCTATACATTATAAGATTCATCAACCTGTCACAGTCCTACAGCGCAAACTTTATATGCCTGAGGATATAACTAACTACGGGGTCTCAAAGTCAGATCATGAGCAAAGGTATCTTGACGGTAGCAAGGTACAACACATAACCTACATGAAATGTCTTATTTTACCAAGCTAAGTATATGGACTTGTTGACCTTACGACAATAACATTCTTTCTTCACTCCACCACTGGCTTTCTGTCGGTCAATCTCAATATCATCCTTTTCCAAATACTGTTTTAAAAGGGCAAACTTATCTTAATAATCTTAAGGTCAAGTATCATGTCCACAGCCATTGGAAGTTGTGACACAATGAACAAAATCAAAGAAAGATCAGGCAGATATAGCATTTGAAAAAACAAGTAGAGGTCAAATTACTAAACCAAATAAATTCCATCAATTATACTAGGAAGTTTTTAAATCAATTCAAATCCACCTTTCCAAAATGGATTTAGTATATTTCCAAACTGTAATTTGATTGTCCAGGCTTATGCCACCAATTAAATTTTACAAGCATTAATCTGTTGACAGTATAAGAAGCAAAGATAAACTAACATTTGTATTTTTTTAAAAAGTCACATGTACCTTTTTAAAAGTAGTTTAAATTTAAATCAAAGAAACTACACACATTTTTTAACTTCCTGACATCACCCTCACCCCTTCTGTAATAAAAAATAAATAAACACACAATACAGCCATTAATATTGATCAATTCAGTATTTCCCTCTAAAAAGTATAACATGGAAAATGTTGTAATTTAAATTCTGGAGTGGTAGGCAGTAGTCTGAATAATGGAAGATTTTAGGCAAATATTCTTCAACTAGTTCATAAAACTAGATTTCTTATTTCTTATCACTTTTTTTCATTTTTATTTACTGGCTGATTTTAGAGAAAGGAAGGGAGGGGGAGAGTGAAAAAGGAGGGAGGTTGTTGTTTCACTTCTTTATGCATTCAGTGGTTGATTCTTGTATGTGCCCCGGGGATCAAACCTGCAACCTCGGCACATCAGGACACTGCTCTCGCCTCTTTATCACTTCTTTCTCATTAATAAACATTGCACATGGCACAGGTAACACCAAACCTTACTGAATCAAATGAATGTACCTTTGAATTATTGTGAATGTATAAAAGGTGCCTTCGAGAGCAAACAAAAAATGTTTAAAACAAAAACAGTAATTACTCTTTTGCTAATTTCAAATCCTATATTACCCTCCCACACATAACCTCTCTGATTGTTGTAGGGGGGGTACTTTTCCTATAAACCAAAGCACCAACCAAAAAGGTGAAATTGACACAGAAAACATCTGACCCAGAAGCTATGCAACAGGTTTTCCATAATCTCTGAAGAAGCAAAGCTAAGCACTAACTGTGGCCAAACCAAGGCAGCCCCCTTGCCAAGAGGAAAGCTCTTTTCTGAATTAGGAAGAAGGAGGATGTACCAAATTCACAGCTGCGGTGGGGAACAGTTTTTAGTGTGATGAACAGCACTGGCTTCCGGAAGCGAGTCTGGTTGGAATCCCTCCGCTACCATTTACTGCGAATACCTTGGGTACGCCTCTTAACTCGCAATGCACTAAGAACACGGCTGGTACAGAATCAGTCCTTGGATGATGCCAGGCGGCAGCAAACCTCTGGATCTCTGCAGCTTGGCAGCGCCTGGGAGCCGGCTGTCAGAAATTCACTCTCAGGTGCAATTCCAGACTTAAAGAATCAGAACCTGCATTTTTTTTTCCAGATCCCATTCTGGTTCAAATGCAAGTTCAAGTTTGAAAGGCACAGCTAGAATGCACTCTTTATATTACTTTACCTATTATAGTTAATTTTTTAAAAATCCACTCTTTTCCTTTTTTGCAACTTGGATAGGTGAGTTTATTTTTAGTAAAAGGTAAAGTATTAGTTGGGATCAAAATTTATTTGTTACCATACTTTACTGAAAAGCAGCAGTACCAACTAAGGCCCAACATTGTACAGGACTGCCATCTAGTGGTGATTCATTCTGCTGCACATACCAAAAAACTGCATGGCCTTGTCTAAAACTACATTTGTTTAAAATAGGAACAGATTCTTTTTGCTTAATTCATTTCTTGAGGACTACTCACATAGCACCCACTTAGTAATAACGTAATAAGGCATCATAAATGTCAAAGAAGGTAAAAAAGGAGGATTCTTAGTTTCCTTTTTTATACTCAAATCAAGTTTAGGGAAGTTTTCAAATTAAAAGATTGATCTGCTCACAGGCTTAGAAAATGGGATTTCTTTTGGCATATGCATATCTTTGAGTGACTTTTATTTGCTTCTTCCTAAATTCTGTACTTGTTACCAATTATACAGTATTTGGGGGTGAGGAACTTTCAAATTGAGGAAAAAAAATTATAATATGTTATAACCTCTGACTCAATAACTCCACTCCTACATTCTATCCCAAGGAAATACCAGAAATGTATGCAAAGATTATGTTCAAAGTCAAAGATGTTCATTCCAGAAAACAAAATTAATCTTAATAGCTTCATAATAACCCACTGAATCCATGCATCAAAACTTAGCCATTCTCCTTTATTTCTCATTTTGATCACTTCTAATGTTTATGTGTTACAATAAATGCACAAATATATATACAAAAGGAAGGAAGGGAGGACAGAAGGAGAGAAGAAATAAATTAATGTATGGCAACTTGATATAACTTTTCCATATTTTGGGTCATTTCCTAACATACATTCCCATAAGTCACATTTCAGATCCAAGAACATTTTCATGGCTCTTAATAGCCAACCTGCCTTATAAAGTGTTATATCGTTTCACATGGCCACAAGCAACGAAGGATATTGAGACTACCATCACCTTGCTAACACTGGGCTTTATGCCACAGCTAACTGTTTAAAGTTTTATTGAGATATAATTTATATACCATCCTATTAAAGTACATAATGCAATAGTTTTCAGTGTACTGACAGACTATCAGCCATCACCATAATATAATTTTGGAACATATTCATCATAAAAAAAAACACAAACATTAGCAGATTCTCTCCATTCCCTTAATACCCCCCCCCATATGAAGAATTATTACTAATTTACCACCCCACTATTTAGTCCTGTTTTCTTGTAGATAACGCAATAAGTGTTACAAACACATGAAATGGGAAAATTCCTTCTGCTACTCAGCTATTTCTGTTTCAAACTGAAATATTCTACTCAACAGGAAAATAAAACATGCCAGAATATCTCCTTGTTTTTTCAGAAGGTACTTTTGAAATGTAAGGCATAATTTAAGAACTAAGAGATGGTATCATATAAATACAAAGTTATCTGTTCTTTTCAAAATAGTAGCAACTCTATTACTTTGGAAGTCCATTATTAAAACCAGCAAAATGTCACAGAAAATCCGACAATTTATTTTTTATTTAATCAATTTAAAACTTTATTTTATTAACTTGATCTGATAATAAAATTAAATAAAAGATAACATTTAACAAAGAATTGCCTTGATGCTACCAAACACACACACACACACACACACACACACACACACACACACACACACACACACCTTACTTTCATTTATCCAAAGCACTTTTTTCTCATATCATTTTTTGGACTCCAGATATATAAAATTTAGCAATTTGCATTTGGGGGCTTTAGTAGGTAAAAAAAACAATTGAAAATGTTAATTAAAAAAGAGGACCTAGGTCTCCCATCATGTCAAACATTTATCTTAAGAACAGAGAAAATCAGTTCTAACAGCTAAGGCGGGGGTGGGGGCACTTCACTGACGGAAGTTAGCCTCTCATCAAATTTTAGCGTGGAACCTGTGAACCAGGAGGTTACAGTTGGATTGCCGGTTGGGGCACATGCCCGGGTTGCGGGCTCCATCCCCACTGTGGGGCGTGCAGAGGTCAACTGATGAATGATGCTCTCTCATCACTAATGTTTCTCTCTCTCTTTCTCTCTCCCTCTCCCTTCCTCTCTAAAAACAATAAAAATATATTTTTTTAAAAAAGAAAAAAGAAATGTCTCTGTAAACCATATAAAAGTGCTGGTTATATGAAAATCCAACACGTTCATGTTTAAAGTTTTCCTTTCTGATTATTTTGCCTGGGTATTTGAATAGAAAGCTTTTGGTAAAATATGTTTAACTCTCTTTGGGATTCATTCACACCACATAATCGTCCATTTTTACCGCCAAGTATGTCTTTACTTAACATCACAGATAGGTTCTTTAATGTTGAGTGAAATGACGTACAATAGAACCAATTTTACCAGAGGCTAAGTGATACAAACAAGAGTTCTCTTTCTAGGCCTTTCATCAACGTGACAATGAAACCACAGTGCACGCAATGCTGTTACTTGAGGACCTGCTGCATTCTAACCTGGGACTTGCAACAACACATTCACAAATAAATGCAAATTACCTCTTACACCACCGAATGATCCGTAAGTCATATTGCAGGCTGTTCTCTGAAGATTATGTTCATACATCAGTTTGATCTGATACTGGTTCCCATGTTCCACATTACCCAAGGTTCCTAAGGAGAAAAACATTAAAAAATATTAATCACTGCTTTGTATTTGTTTACATTAAAAAATATGACATAAAAAAGTCATCCTCTACACCGACTCCAAGTAATTCAATGTCGATAAAATCTAAAATGACAAAGCACCGAAACACTGTGTACTGTGAACAATCAGCATGCGATGACACAGACGCCAGCTCAGTTCCAACAGGTGAGTCTCAGCAAGACTACACCATCGTGACATTTTATCCTCCATTTTCACTATGTCTGAGTAAAGTGTAATTATTCAAATAACAACAAAACGCTCCCACTTCAGGTCTACAATAAATAAGGTTAACTTCCTTGCACTTAGAAACAATAACAAAATTCCCCACACGTTCAAGCAATTCAATCTTCAGTCCCAACTCTCAAAATAGTACTCACGCCCTAACGCATCATGTTCTAACTGAATGGAGAGGTCTTCTAAAGCTTCCCTCAGCAAGTAAAGAGGACCTGGTGTTTTGTTTGAAGTCTGCCAAGAAGAATTTCCTTGAAAATAGGGAGCGTGCAGCAGGCAGCCCATCGCTTTTTTCTCTCTCACACTGATGTTTTTCTTTCCCTCTCACCTCCTCTCTCTCTAAAAATCAATTTTTTTAATCTTAAAAAAAAAGTAGTAGTGAAACTAGAGAACATTAGGCAATGCATCCTTAGATACCACCTTAAAATAAAGATAGTACCTGAAAATCTAAAATTTCTGGCCATTTTTTTTCTAGAGAAGCATCAGTGACATAAGATTAAAATCACGTACATAGGTTTTGCCCTTGGATATAATAACTGGATATAATAACTGTATACCTATAATCATAATCCCCACATAGCCAAAATTACTGTAAAGTTTCATCAATTAGCAATTAAATGGTTACTAAAACATTTATGCTGGTGGCCTTATTTAAATAAGATCTTATTTATTTAAATAAAAAAATCTATTGAAAATCAACGGTTACCTTGACAACCATTTTTGGTGCACTTTTATATAACCACTGAAAAATCTAATGATGGTAAATGAAATAAAAGCCTTCCCACAGTAAGGTAAAAGGTTCATTGTGTTAAATAACCAAATTAGATTACATAAGCCTGTCAAAAGTAAGGAACCCCATGTTTCTGCCTCTCATGGCTAACATTAAAATTCCACAAGGAGGTCAAATGATTATTAGTAAATGCTTGTTGAGGAGTACACAATTTTGGGGAAAGACTATCTAAAAGAACAGAATCAGGATGACCTGAGCTCACACGTGTGTAACCACTTACTCAGAACTGAAGCCCATCAGAAAGGATTGGAGATGCCCGGGTGCTGTTCTTTACAGAGTCTGATAAGACGGGCTGACTTCAGGCAGCAGGAGCCTGCTGGTTCTCTGTATTAAGCATGCGTTTGATGACAAAGCACCACCAAAAAGCCTCTGACTGTTAAGGGGTGTTTGGTGTGTCTAGGGACTCTCTAGTTTGCCTCGAATCCATTTTAGCTGCACACAGCGTGTGAAAGAAGACAAAATATAATTGGGAGGGGGCCGCTGGAGGTAAGGATGTCAAGTTCGGCAACACTTCCACCTGCTGACACCAGTGGTTGTACTTAAACTAGAAAATGTTTACGCTTCCCCTGCTACAGTGAAAGCTAGGGGGAAAGTTCAGACAGGAACCTCAGGAAACATTTTCAAGAGAACAAAAACATGAACTTTCCTGCCTCACAATTTAAGCCACGCCAGGAAAAATAGACAAATTGTCAGCCTATGAATATTGTAAGAGGCTGCAGAAATGAGAGACCGAGAAGGGAAGTGAGGTGTAGGGGCATTAGCAGTGTAGTCTGGACAACTCCCCATCCCCAGAGAACACAGAGCTTGTAAAAGAATACAGCGAATAAAAGAGTGAGAAAAATCACCATTCCGGTGACCCATAACTCCCATTTCCAACGCTGACTTGCAGGAGGATACCATATCCCATGAACAAGCTGTAAGCAAACATGCCAGTTTCTTTCAGTGGCGTTTTTTATAAACATAACACATTTACCATGATTCTATAGTGTACCCCTGAGTGGAATTCAAAAGGCTTCTGTCTTTCTTTTCTTTTTTAATATATTTTTTATTGATTTCAGAAAGAGGAAGGGAGAGGAAGTCAGAAATAGAAACACCAATGATGAGAGAGAATCACTGATCAGCTGCCTCCCACACACCCCCTACTGGGGATCGAGCCTGCAACCGGGGCATGTGCCCTGACCAGGAAGTGAACTGTGACCTCCTGGTTCATAGGTCGATGATCAACCCCTGAGCCAGGCCTGCAGAGCAAGGATTCTGTCTTTCTTGGCCACCGTTCAAACAGGACCAGGGAAAGCCAAGAGCCTAACCTAATTTCTACTTTCGAGCATGCGTCCCTCTCGTGCCCTCTTAGATACCCCCTGGAGCCCCCGGGAGGGACCAATTCTCTAAGAAGTATTCATGGGTGACGGTGGGCAAGACTCCCTCTCCCGTGACTTGTGTAACACACTTAATAAAACAGCACTCACAGTTAACAGGCTTAGGATGGAAAACAAAGAACAACGAGATGCATACAATAAAGTCACCTGTATCACACCTTCTCATTTACTCTGCAACCTAAATATGTGCCCTCCACCAGGAGGAGCAACATCTTCTACTGTGAAACCAATGAGAATATTTAACCATGACCATAAGAGGTACTGAACAGGACCTCTGAGGCAGAGAGAGCAGAAAAGGAAGTGATAGAGGTAACAAAGAAGGAAAAGAAGGAAGGAAGGAAATAACACAAAGAGAGTAAGAGTGAGCCAACACCAACTGCCTCAGCACTACCCGGAAATCAGTGCACTCATTCCTTCAGCAACTATGCCTGCCACCTACCCTACGCCACTACCCAGCTGCCTCAGGGAGCCCACAGACCTTCACCCCAGAAACAGACTGCCCAGGACTACCCAGCCCAGGGACAGGAAAAACAAATTGGTATTAAAACTGAAAGCCAAACACAAAGAAAGCCCAGATCAAGAGAATGAATGGGGGAAATCCAAATCCTAAATCCTAACACTGGCCCCACCTGGTTTGGCTCAGTGGTTAGAGTGTTGGCCCTCAGACTAAAGGGTCAAAACCTCGGTTACAGGCTCAATCCCTGGCACCAGTCAGGGCACATGAGGGAGGCAACCAATCCATGTGACTCTCTTACATCAATGTCTGTCTGTCTGTCTCTGTCTCTCTCTCTCTCTGTAAAATCAATAAAAACAGCCCGCCTGGAGGTCACAGTTTGATTTCCGGTCAAGGGCATGTACCTTGGTTGCAGGCACATCTCCAGTGGGGGGTCTGCAGGAGGCAGCTGATCGATGTTTCTCTCTCATCGATGTTTCTAACTCTCTATCCCTCTCCCTTCCTCTCTGTAAAAAATCAATAAGATATATATTTTTTAATAAATAAATAAATAAACAAACAAACAAAAGCTAAGTTTACAGCAAACTCCAAAGGTGAGTATCATTTGAATAAGGAATAGGCCCACAGACCCTTATCTTTATTGTCCCCATAAAAAACTCCCCAATATTGATATCCATCTAAATAACACTCTCAACCTACACTACAATTTATCTAATAACAGAAACACACGTTTTAAGCTACCTTTTATATTTAACAAGGTCCAAAATGCTGAAACGATGCCACTTTTAACTAACATACTTTACCCACAGAACAGTCGAGATAGAAACCTGCTTAAGCCTCAAATAAGTGCCTTGAGGTCTGGTTGAGTGAAGACACCCAAAGGCCAAGAAATTGGAACTGTAAAGAAAAAACACTTGAGGTTCACCAAAGAAAATGTACTTTAAACCACAGTGACTCAGCAGCTAACGAATTTTAACTGCTATTGAATATTTCTTAAAACTCAAGTGTCCTAAGAAACCAGAATTGGCCTGTATTAGTCATAGGCAATCCTGGACACTATTCCTAAGTAGAAGGAGGTTACACGGAACCTCCACTGGAAATGGAAACACCCACGGAAACAGCCGACCTAGGAAATGTATCAGCCCAAAGCAGCTGAAACAATCAATGATCGAGGGGAAAGTGCTCATTATGGAAACCTCAACCCGAACGTGTGTTGTCCTCCACCAAGTCACATTAGAGAATATCTATTCTTTCATAACATCGAAAAGCCCAGTTTTTAATACAAATTCTCCATTAGAAAAAGAATGTTCTTACCTGAGACAGAGTAGACGCAAAGTTTTCTAGAATGCAACACAGCCAAATGAAGCATTTCAGTGCCTCTGAAAAATGGGGAAAGTTTTAAAAGTGTAAATATTAGTTTCAGATGGAACCAAAAAATTATAGAATAATTTTTAAAAGCAATTATAACCACAGACTACCATGAGTAAAGCAAGCAGTTCATAGACGACATTCTAAGCCGGAAATAAAGGTAACAGCAAGCAGCCAGCCTGACAATCCCGGGGCGCGGGGTTCGGGCTGGGCCGCGAGGGGCTGCCTCCAGACGGAAGCTTGGGCGCCTCCCGGGAGAGTCCTGTGGAGGCTCCTTCTGAGCTGCCCCACAACAGGGAGGCCCAGGTCAGGGCCTGGCTCTCCCGCCAACAAACCTGTGACCTTGGCCAAGTCATTTACTCTCTCCCAGCCTGCTTCCCATTCTGGAAGATAAGAGGTTTCGATTGGATGAAATAAAATCACGTGAAAGCACCTTGTAAAGTATGAAGCACCACAGAACGCTGACTGTGAAGAAACAATAGTAATGACTTTACATGGCATTCATCACGTCCAGCTTTGAGACATCACGGAAGGTATTGGACGTATTTCAGCTTGACCATTGTCACCACTGACCACCCAGCCCGTCAACTGGTTTTGAGAGACAAGCAGAGTCTAGAAATCCGAAATTCAAAGTCTTCAAGGGTCAGTCCAGTGAGTATAAATGAGGGAAGGGCTGTGATCCACTGGAGACGGGGGCCAGACTAAGGGAGGCCATTGCTGCTCAGTTCTGGGCTTGTGGCCAGATCTCCACTTTTTTTTCCAAGAAAAAACAGAATATAGGGTCTTTACTAGTATGTGAAATCTCCAGCTTCATATATATATGGGTTTATTTGAGCCAACTGACATCATCTGCTGGGAAGCAAGTTCTCCTCCTGGTTCTCAGATGTTGGCAGGCCTTTTACATCTCAGACACATCTGCAAGCAGGCCTCCAGTGTCTGGCCTGCGCTCTACAGACTGTCCTGAACTGCAGGTACGATCACTGGACTCTGAAGACTGGGGTAGAGTCCTGACTCTCACCTTGATACTTGTGTGATCATGGACCCTTTCAGAGAATTGGTCTCTCATTTGGAAAAGGAGAAGTATGTCCAATAAGACTTGCAAAACATTGTTACAATGAATATATAAATACCCACTGCTTGCTCTACTACCAGGAAATGCAAATATACACAACAACCACATAATCAATATTGCCTTCAGAAGTGTTTTATATGTGCCCTGAACTCCATCCCCCACCCCCCACTCCACCCCCACCCCCCCACCCCCCGCAAAACAATCTCCCATCGTGCACTGGAAACAATGTCATGAACAGATAGATAGTACAGTGTGGAGTCAGACCTGGATCTGAATCTCAGCTGGAGGACATAAACTCTGGGCTCCAGCTAGGTTCCTTATCCTGAGATCACATCTTATAAACAAAGAGTAACGAATTTTAACTGCTATTGAATATTTCTTAAAACTCAAGTGTTCTAAGTACCCAGAATTGGCCTGTATTAGTCATAGGCAATCCAGGACACTACTCCTAAGTAGAAGGAGGTTACACAGAACCTCCACTGGAAATGGAAACACCCATGGAAACAGCCGACCTAGGAAATGTAACAGCCCAAGCACCTGAAACAATAAATGATCGAGGGGAAAATGCTTATTAGCACAGTATCCACTCAGTAATGTTAGTGATCACACAGATGAAGGCCACACTGAGGACTACCGGACAGCATGACTGTCACAGCATTTCACTTTCTGAAAACAACAAAAAGGAAAA